CCAAATGGCCGAACGGCAATAAATTATTAATACCGTTTAACCAGAAATTTTGCCGGATTTGCATCGAAACTCATCGACATTCCAACTGGTTTTGCCCCCCGAACGAACGCTCCGCTATCTGGTACAGTTTCGTCAGTGTATTTTATAGCGAACACGCGGGCAAATTATTTCGCCGCTGTACGCTTCCATTCTCTACCCTTCCTGCTCTTCTTCCTCCACCCTCTCTGATCAGAACGCGATTGGATCGCGCGGCCGGCGTGAAAATTACACGCAGCCGGCACGCCGAGTGGAACGCGGCCCAACGATTGCACACACTCGCGGAAATGCTCGTGGATTAATGGGAACCACCCTTTCGATCTTCCCTCTTTTATGTCTTCCGGGTTTTCTCTCTTCTCTTTCCTTTTTACGCACTCCTGGCGGTGGGCGATATTTCGTTACGTTCGTGCGAGCCGCCTTTCAATTAGCGTTTCGTCCAGGTATTAACCCCTTGGCAGTCCGATAAAATTACGAATTAGAGCGAACGAAATTCACATTTTACACGTATCCTTTTTATATCTTCTTCCTGAAAGTCTCTCCTGTGTTAAACTCTCCGTTATTCAACGCAATGCCCGAGTCTCACTCGGAATAAACTGTCGAAGGACGAACGAGTCTCCAGTATCGCCTCTAAAAATAAATCGAAGGTTCCTGTTCCGCCGGAGTCCCTCGCTTCATCGCCATAAAACCAAAACTAGTTAATCATGCCAGCACACCTTTCTAAAACATATTCATTCACCGTCGCGGCTAGCAATTTGCACAAAAAAAAAAGAAACCTTAGACGTGCATCTGGCTAGCACAAGTTCAAGGGCTGTTTTTCAGGAACCGTCACCGTCGCGGCTAGCAATTTGCACAAAGAAAAAAGAAACCTTAGACGTGCATCTGGCTAGCACAAGTTCAAGGGCTGTTTTTCAGGAACCGTTTAAATTCTTTCACTCGTGCAGAGTTTCTTTCTTTTCTAAATACCTAGACGACGGCCTCAACACTCAATTGTCCGTGTCGTAAAATGTGAATTTCTAAAGAGGTTTGTACGCGGGCTTGACCGTCTTCAAACGGTACACAGCCGACCTTCGCAGGTATCAACCTCGCGGAAATTTTCCTTCCTATTTCCACCTCCAGCCACCACCCCTGTTCCTCATAGAGCGCGTCTAGGGCGCACGGAACAGGGTAGTGGAACACCAGCTGATTGACCATGTTAATGACCAATCAGAAAATAAAACGACCAGGAGTTTTCCGACTGTCTCGAAAGTCTCAAGAGCAGCGTTTTAAAGCAGTCTGTCTTTCAACCGCCTAACGATCACATCACTAGTATTCGGGGTCTCCATTTTCAACCGTTTAACAGAAATAGTCAACGTTGAATTTATAAATATAGCGATAAGTTAACCACACTTGAAGTATCTCTATTTCTTTAACGAGCAATAGGGAGCCAATCGCGCGCGGTACGATTAATTCGTGCCGAGATTTACAACCACCGCTAGGTTTACGTAACGACACACCTCACCGTGCGTGCGCGGCATAACAGTTGCATTCAACCACTCTTCAGCCCCTTTAACGTTAAATCCAATTTCACTCTCGCGAGACTCAAAATTCAGTATCGAAACAACAAATATCAAAAGAACCTCCAGCCAAAGGGCGGTAGCTCGCAAAGCTAGAACAGGAAAGAAACCCTATTTCCAAAGCTCCCGAAAAATCCACCTTACAGAAACACCACCTCGAGTGTGCTAGAAAAATCCGCGGAAACGGGAAGTCTGCTGCTAAACATTCATAATCCCGGCACGAGGAATCGGGCACGATTTCAAAGACAGATCCCGCACGTTTCCCAACCCTGGAATCGAGTACACGCCGGTACCAGAGCGGGGAGGAGAGAGGGGAAACGGAGGAATATCCCGGAAACGTAAGAGCGAACGCGATATTTACGAGGGAATTCGTTTCCACGGCGAATCGTCGCCGGCACGTCGCTCTAACGAGGCCGAAACACATCGAGGGAGAGAGCCGTGCCTCGCCGCTTCTCCGCAACGGCCACCGGAAGCGTCGGTGCACGCTTCTCGAATTCTCGTTTCTCTGGCGCATCTGCGCGACGTTTCTCGCTTCACACACACACACAGAAGCAGAGAGAGAGCAACGTGTACAGAAGTGCAAGGGCTCAAGGGGAGAAGGTGAAAAATACTTTTCGTATAAATTGTCGCTCAGGAATTCCACGACGATGCGCCGAACAAAACGCGACCACGCTCCAAGCATGTAGAAAGCAACGGAGCCACCGTGGGAGCTTGGCTCGGCTTCGCTGCTTTGGTTCGCCGGGACGGAACGGGGCAAAGAAAAGGGGGGGAGTGTGGAACAAGGGTGTGGGGTATATCTCGTAAAAATGCAAACTTCTCTCCTCTACGTCGAAGTCTGAGCGAGAAGAGCCGGTCGTTGCACGAGCCGTTGTTGTCGCCTCGACGGCCAAAAAGTTCGACGCGCGTTTCCACTTGGAAAAAAATCCCGAGTTCCACGATGCTCCGTTTAGCAGAGCGGAAGTAAAGGCGGGCGGGGAGGGAGATTGGGGGAATTTTTGGAAAGTTCAACGGAGCGTGTGCGAATCGAGAGATGACGAATAAGTAGGAAAGTTTCGTTGATTTTTCGAAAGAACGATCCTTCCCTGCAAACGGTTTCGCGATTAGAAAAATGTCGACGGGGAAAAATCTTGGTCGGGAGTTCATTTTCTCGACAGAACTTGCCACGGGAGAGACGACGGGGTGTAACGATCGAACGAGGTTGGAAAGCGATTAAGAAGGAAGGAGAATCACTCGTGGATTGATCGCGTGCCAGCACCGCATGAAGCTTATTCGCGGTTAGAAATTACGACACACACAGAGTGTATAAAGATACGGAATAATTCCGTAACTTACAGCGACGTAAATCAGACCACACTTCTTCCTTGTAAATTTCACCGGTGATTACAACGGTGTAATATACGTGGACTTATATCGAGTTCGTACAACTTTCGGTACAATGTTCAGGCGCATAGTTTTATCGGCCCCTTTAAACATTCCCCTATCTACATACACTACCGGCCAAACCTTTCGAATCACTGTGCATTACAAGTTGTACAAAAATTTCTAGAATAAAGTTAGCAATTTTAAGAATATTTCGACCAACTTTTCCTCGTTCAAATCAATCGAAATAAGGTAAAATTATGTACGATGCTCGACTCGTGAACGAGACTGGTTTCAGCTCGAACTCGATTAGTACCGTTGCGCTCCCGATGTGTTAATCCCGGAAGGGCGAAATTCTAGTAGTTGGTGTGAGAGGTTTCTGGTTGGACGTTGAAGGTGGTGGAAAAGAAGGACTCGAAAAATGCGGAGGTGTGATTGGATATTAGGAAACTAGTGGAAGGAGAACGTGAGAACCAACCCAACTATATATACACATAGTTTTTCATATGCCTATCCCAACTGCTGGGCAAACCTAACTCCGGCTGAAGGAAGAGTATTCTCCCTCGGGGAGATAAAATGAAAATTGAAAGCGTTAAACGCGTCGGCGTTTTTTCCTCGCGTGGTGGTGGTAAAAAAAAAAAAAAGGGACAGAAAGCACAGTACGCGAGGAAACTGGCGGGAGGAACACGGACACGACGATAGGGAGGGAAGAGAGGTGGGATTTCGTTGAGCTTAAAATTTTTAATTTTAGTTTACGACGCGACTGAAAATTATATTTGCGGCTGGCTTGCATACGGGGAACGCGTTTCGCCTCATGGCTGTGCAAACAACATCGACGTCGTCGCTGTTTCACCTGGTTCTATTCAACCGGAGCCTGCTCTTCCCCGCAGTTTCTCGCGTCGATAAAACGTTAATTACCGTACACACTGCGAGCAGAATACGCGTAACAAGTGCACGTTCAACGTTGTCTCTCATCTTCAATTAGTTCGCGAGGAAAAAGAAAGAAACGGTGGGTTTCCCGCTACTTTGCCATCCGAACCGATACTTGGCGGAATTTAATTAGCTTCTACAGCCGGCCACGTGTTTCCCCGAATCGTCGGGCTAATTATGAAAATTGCAATTGATACGGGCAAAAACATACTTGTCTCGCTTATTGGATTCGATTTAACGAAGAAGCATTCGGGATCAAAGCACCGTACTCGGAACAGATCGATGCTAAACGAATTATAATTTTACGAAACCACCTCCTCCCCTGCACTCGATCAACCGCCCGGGATAATTGCCAGCCGTGTCAGCTTTTAGAATCGTGATAAATGGTCTTGGTGACGAGTGAGCATTTCGATTTGCACCTGGAATTTTCCTCGGTGAAAAACCTCGCTCGGTTAAAGGGTGGCTTGGAAACTTCGCTTTCCAATTATAGCCGAGGATGAAAAACGATTGCGGAGTATTTTGGATTACTTAAAAATCTCACTCTCTGACAAGCGAAACACTTGGAAAAATTTCGATTTGCACCTAGAATCCCCGATCGAGAAGCTCAGAGTGGGAAATTTCGTTTGCAAGAGTATTTCGGGTTACTCAGAAATTTCACTCTTTGACAAACGAAACACTTGACAATTTCGATCTGCACCTAAAATTGATAAATCTAAAGTCAGAAATTTCTTTGCAATCATATCGAAGTGTGGAAAATAATTGCAGAGTATTCTAGATTACTTAAAGCGAAACACTTGGAAAAATTTCGATTTGCACCTAGAATCCCCGATTGAGAAGCTTAGCGTGGGAAATTTCCTTTCGAATTATATGCAAGTATGAAAAATGATTGCGGAGTATTTCAGATTACTTTCCCTCCGCCAATCGAAACTCTCAAAAAGTGTCCACTTTATGAGGAGAAGAAGCGCGAGCCGAGATTGTAGAATTGCGCATTCCGTAGGATCGGTCCAATAAACGTCGATTTCAAGCAAGATTCGTCAAAGGGATATTCAAAGTAACACTGCGATCTGCCGCGAGTGGCCGTTTTGCACGTGAACGGTATAACGAGCAGGAAGTGAAACTGACCTGTGGTGGATAGTGATCCGGTAGCGTGTGAAGTGCCTCTCTGTACGCGGACAGGGCCCTTTGTAGCCTGCCCTGATCGGCGTAGAGTGCGCCTAATTGAAGGAGGGCCTGTACCCTGGCCGCATCGTGAGCCCTTTTGTCCTTGAGACCAGACCCGTCCAAGGATGCTCCGGCCCGCAAAACCACAGCCGCTTCCGTTCCGCGTCCCACCGAGGCGAGCGCTGCGCCCAGATTCACGTAAGCCTCTGCAAAAGACAAACGACAAGGATCATCATTCTCTATCCTCCTTCGATTACTTCTTCCACCCTCTTCCTTCGCAGGTCGCCCATGAATTTACAGAAATCGAACCGACCACGATTTTACATTTATCCCTTCTTTCACCTCCATTTTTTCTTTACACGTTTTTACTCTACTCGCGAAGATTGTACGTCGGTAATTTCATCTCGGTGTTTCAATTTATTTTTTAGGGTTTCTTTTTTTTTTTTTGAGGAATTTATGGGAGGAACTCGTGCAAGTATCAATTGTGGATGTTTTTAAGCTCTCCAAGTGAATAAATGATAAATACACGTTTGTGAGGAACGCTGCTTTGAATCTCTGCCAGAGTATAATCTAAAGCAGAGAGGAGGGACGGTTGTACTGAAAGATTAAGGACGAGAAATTCGCCGGGGACGCTTAATCTAACAAACTACGTGCACAGGCACAATCATAACAAGATCCACTTTTTGCTCTGGTTCTGCTGCTTTACGAGACAGAGAGAGAGAGAGAAGGGCTGGCGAGATTTTCGCGACGAGAAGGGTTCCTTTAGAATTCGGACAGAAGCACGTCGGTCTTTAAGCGTAAATTCAGACATTCATGCAGCCGGCCGGCACACTTCGCTTCTTGCCCTGTCCGTTTCTAATTAAAAGGGCATTGCCTGGCTTCCAGCGAGCTAGTGAAACCGACTCGACAGTCGAATCGGGTTAAGTCCGCATGAATTTCCGCCTTTTGTCGCGCGTTCACCCCGTGTTTCTTTGGCTAATTGCTAAATATCGTGCGAAACGTCGCTTGCTGGACGCTAGACGCCATCTTTAACGCCATCCGTAAGATTAACATCGCTTCTCCGGCTAATTTCCTCCGTCTTCTCATTCGTCAACCGTGAAATTCCCAATTAAAATGAATTTGAAAGAAATCCACACACTTTGAAAACTTTCAATCTTACAGGCGCAATAACCAGACGCCTTCTGCTTGCTACAAAGCAGAAGAAGAGAAAGAGAGAGAGAGGGAGAGGAGGTGGACAAAAAGCCACTGCGAGTTTAATTAAAAATTTCAAGTTTCCACGAGGCATTCTCGCCACCGAACAACCAGGCTAAAGTGTAACGTATTAAAAACTTTATTTCCACTTTTATTGTCACCCTTGCGATCCCTTATGTCATAGTGGAAGGGAACAAAAGCTGAAGCAGGCGTAACGAACAGAGGCAAAACGAAAAGGAGAGACGAATCTCTTTGGTCGGATCGATGAAAAGGTGAACGAGCGAGAGGCAATCTCGGAATCTCTCTCGATGATTCCACGACGACGGATTTCCAATTTCTGACCTCTCTCCAACCAGAGAGAGAGAGAGAGAGAGAAAGAGAGATCAGGATCCTCTAATTTCGTCGCGTTTAACTTTCCCTAGGCCAGCCGTTTGCCGTTCAACCGGCTAAGCGTAATATACCAGCGGCTCTGCTAATCCCGATATCATCCTGCACGATATTACAGGGCCTTCCTAACCCTCCTCTGCGACGTAAGACGTTTATCCTGGCTGCTCCGGAGTCGCGCAGTATAAACAGGCGGCAGCCAGACTTTCATTAACGAGCCGTGTGATTGGCAAATTTTCCGGCCCGCCCGCTATCGTCGTTCCCCGGCAAATCCGATTTGCTTTAACGAAATCCTCCGATATCAGGGATCGTTTTTCCCCTCCACCGTGGAGATCGCCTAGCTGTCGCTGGAACTCGATCGTCGACGGCTCCATGTAAACGCGGCGCCGGTGTAATTGCCGTGTCCCTTTTAAAAGATTACACCCTACGTCTCACCATCGATAAAACAGATTTCAAGAAAATTTCGTTGCGTCCAAAATTAATTCGAAACTGAAGGATCGTATCTATCAAGTTTCACCCTTTTACTTGTAAATCTCGCGTTGCAATCGCGACAAGCCAGCATCGCTAATAGATCGTCAATAATCGATCAGGAGGATTGCGACTCGGTTGCACCGCGTACTTTTAACCACGCGCTGATGAATAATCGACAGAGCGATCCCGTTCTGCCCTGTTCAAAGACACAACGCATCAACGTAGATGAACCCGGATGAACTTTTCCATCGCCGAGAGAACCCTGTTGCAAAGACAGAATATATGTATAGAGAAAGGAGCGCGATTCTCCGTCAGCCGCAATTCTCCGTGTAATCCGTCACGATATCGGAGCCGTTCTCCTCGTCGGTGGGACGAAGAGGCAGCGTTTTAAGATATTACGTTCGCGGTGGCTCGACAGAAGGTGCACAGACGCTCTCTGTTACATGTACATAAACGTCGCGCAACTGTATCCAGAGAGAGGGAGAGCTGCCGGGGATACTCTAATTCCATAGAGTATCCCTGGGGACCGCGACGAGGAAAATGGATTGCCCGGCTCCCGCCTCGTTCCTTATTCAAAATAATGTGAAGCATAGGGGTCGAGAATTCCTTCGGCCGGCCAGGAAATTGCCATTGCTCATGCTCCACTTTCCTCCAATAACTTTTTTCTTAATTAAAGAATCGGCGAACTGGCCAGGTAGCGAGACTCTATTCGAAAAGTTTCACTAGACGGTGTTTCCTTTTGTAACTACCGACAGATGCCTGTGGTTTCCTTCGGAGAAAGTTCTATTGGATTATCGCTGGATTGTTTCGATGGGTGTGTGACTGTTTCCTGTGACACGTGGATCTTTCAAACTACCTTCATAATTCTAGTGAAACATTACTTTCTATTACGAGTGTAGCGACCTTCCTACGCTCTGCCACCAGACTGACCATAGGTTCTCGCTAGTCCTCCTAAAGGCTCCTGTTTGTATATACTATAATATACAACTTCTGACCTGAGTCCTTCCAGTCCCTCCCTATCTTATTGTCGCGTCGCGATCTTTTGCGATGTTCAACAGGAAGCTCGCGGTCGGCGACTGTTACCCGCCAAATTAATCTTGGGAAACTAGTTCAAAATCTACTTTGCTCGAAGAGTGCGTCACGAACGATTGACGACTTTGTTTCAAAGACTCGAATTGTACTTGAACGGCTGGGGAGAGGATCTTGATCACACGAGAGAATCTTTCTAATGTGTTGTGTCTCCTCGAACGGTTGGAGATCGCTCGATGGAACCTTTTCTGAATCTCTCGCTCGATTCCCGAATTTTTCTGGAGTCCGCAGTGACTCCCCCGCCAAGTGCAAGAAGGTACGCTGATTGGTTTTTCACGTACGCACAAATTACCAATCAACGTGCCCCTTGCGTGTCACTCACCCTTCCATTGCGCCCTTGGCGCGCTTTTCCTTGGAAGGAGTGGCGCCTTACCTGCGGGTGCGTGGCATCTTCGCTGTCCTTCGGTGACGCGTCGGAAATTCCCGCCAGGTCAACCTTCGGCCGAGAGTGCCGTTATACGCACGTGTGGATTGACCCTTCAGGAATACCTGATTTATGACACGTCTTCGGTTAGGACGTGGAAGTCGAAGTTCTAAAGGCATTGTTCTGTAAGAAATTACTTATTTTTTCGCGGAGCTACGAAGCGTCTTTGTTCTCAAAAATAACCTTCTCGTGCGAGCGTGCCATAAACCCGGTCAACGAAGACCCCATGCGTTCCGTACCTGCGCGACGGAACACTTATGTTTTAGGTTTTTTGAAAATTTTTCCCTAGCTCATCTCATGCAGGCATCTGCCCTTCCAACCTCATTGACGGTACCACCGCATATTTCTCAAGGAATCCGATAACGAGGCCATCGCTTCTAGGCGCGGATCCAAAGGAATCACCCTAAACTCCAAAAGAAGTCCCTCCCGCGTCTAAGGCACGGGACTCCTAGAAAGCCTTACCGACGAGTCCACTAGGAGGCCCAGGACGAAACGCCCCTAGCCTTTCCATTTCCGCCGATCCTCTATCAATTTCCTACCCAGCTTCACGAGTGTGAGAAAAAGAAAGAGAAGAAGTTCATTCTGAGGCTACGCAGGGGTGATTAACCCTTTCGGACGATTAACCCGCTCGCAGTGAACTAACTGTAGTCGAACGCTAACTGTTTCGAAATTATATTGGCCAGCAATTTTATAAAGTGTTATTACTGTAAAACGTGTTAAAGTATGATTTCTCCCGGCGATTCATCACATCGCAAAATTGAACTGCTATGCTCCTCATCCGGCGAATTGGTACCCTATTAATTGATACCCGATACGAAGCCGTATCGAAAGGGTTAATCTCAGGCAGACACTGCGTTTGTATAATCGACGTTTCGCCAGTTTAGACTACAAGAGGTGCTTCGACATTCTGTTACGCTAAAACGAGAAATCCAATCGACGGATAATCTACGACTCACGCGCAGCCAACGTACGAAGCGCAAATGGAAAAAGGTAGAGCACCGTTTCGACACGTATAGAGAATTATTTGGTATTAAACGGGCACGGGAACGAATTAAGGAAACGTATTCCAATCGTGAACAATTATCCAAAATCCAACAGCTGAAAATTGGATAACCTGGAAAATTCTGATTGACTCTGATCGGCAAGATTACAAGCCCAATTCCGTGTATCTAACAATCCGATTGTACAAATAAACGTGAAATCGATGTTGGTTACAGGATCGAGGGGGGCGAACTAAAAAAAAAAAAAAACGAAAAGGAAGAAATATCGTCGAATCGGTGTAATTGCCGCGGCAGTGTAGCGCAATCGGATGCACGCGAGCCGGTTACGCTCGTTTTTGCTCGCTTGGCGCAAGAGCTATCGCAGTAAATATCCGGCGGGTTGCGTCGTAACGAATTTTACAGGTGGCGATCGACGGAGGCTCGTCGACGCGGAATCACAGCGCTCGCTCGCCTCGTTTACGAGCTTAATAATCCGTCAGAATTGATCGTCACTCGTTTCACCACGCGAAATACCCGCCGGCATTACTCTTCCTCCTGTTTTTCCTTCTTTTTTTTTCACGCACAAATAACGCCCCTTTTATCTTATTACACGCGGAGAAAAAACCAGCGCGTACCTGCAGCAGGTGTAAAATTAAAACGAAACGTG